CTATATGGACTTCAAGAAACCATCTAATCTTTGAAAACAGAGCGTCCACTGCGGAAGATACTTGTTTGAGAGCAATCAAATTGGCACGTGAGTGGCAGGAGGCGCAAAGGAAATTAGAAACACATGAGCAAAATCCAGCGATTTTGAGAGCCACGACGAGGACACCATATCCCCCCCTGGAACTGAGGAATTCCATCTGGGTGCACACTGATGCGGCATGGAAGGAAGGAACAAATATGGCGGGTCTCGGATGGATATTCTCGGCACCTTCAGGAAGCGTTTTGTCTTCGGGAAGTAGAGTTGAGCTGTTCGTATCATCTCCACTCATGGCGGAAGGTTTGGCGATTCGAGAAGCTTTGGTTCAGGCCAGTAAGAAGAATTACTCCAACCTTTTAGTGAAATCAGACGCTCAGACTTTGGTCAGAGCTATCAACGACAAGAACCCACCAAAGGAACTGTTTGGAATCATCCACGATATTCTTAGCATGTCTCTTGAGTTCTCTGTTATCTCCTTTGTTTTTATTTCTCGCTCAAAAAACTCAGCTGCAGATGCCCTTGCGAAAAGCGCTCTGTATGCACCGTCTCTGCTTTCAGGTTAACTTTGGTTTAAAATTTAATAGAATGCCGTTCAAAAAAAAAAAAAGGTTTATATATCACTAGTTAGGGTTTAGATTTTGTAAGTGGGAGATTTTCTGGTTTTTTAGTATTTACATAATAACAATTAATAGAAATAGAGTAAAATGTCCTTCTATACTATTTATAGAGGTTCCATACTATGTTAAGCACTCTATGAAAAATATGCAACATATGATATAGATTCTATTTGGGTTTATATATCAGTAATTAGGGTTTGGATTTAGTAAGTAGAGATTTATTTGGGCTTTTAGTATTTAACGTAATAACAACTTATGAAAATGAAGTAAACTACCATTTCTGTACTATTTAAAAAGGTTCCATATATGTAGTACAATATGAAAAATTTGCATCATATCATATCAATTCTATTTGGGTTTATAAATTAATGATTAAAGTTTATATTTATTAATTAGGATTTATAATTTAGGCATTTGTGTGAAATTAGGTTATGGTCTAGTATCTAGGAATTGAGGTTGTATGTGGAGTTATAATACTATACTATTTTGGTGATATAAAATAGAACAGTATGTGGTATATGTATTTGATCAATAAAGTTATACGTGGACGGTTTAACTTTCTTTCGTTTTATTGGTCACATTTACCTGGTACTTGTAAAGATAAAGGATAAAACCGGACACTTAGTGACATAAATGTTGGAAACTACATTATGTAAAAATCAATGACATTTACTTAATTTGTTGTTGAAATATGGCTAGTTAGCCAACAAGCCCAAAAATATTATCCTAGTTTGAAATCCCCAAGAAAAAAATCTAGACCACCTTAAGTCCTTTTAAGGTTTCAAAACTTGTGAACCCTTAGAGAAACATGAAGTGTGGTTGAAGTCATATTATTTCGGTCACATTTTAAATAACATCTGCTCCATTACCAAGGCAATACAGAGAGAAGTTATAGTGCTCTCTCAGTAAAAAATAAAGAAACAAAAAGGAAGATATATTTGCTCGGGCTAAGAATCTTGTTCTTCAAGTTCTTTCTTCTTCTTTTGTCAGTCCATTTTCACCTGCCACTTGTCATTATACGCTAGAAGTGATAACTGATAACAAACAAAACGACCTTAGAAAAATGGGAAGAGAATGGTACAACGGATATTATCTCCTCTAAAATCAAGAGCAAACCCAGTGAAGCTAATGGCTGCATCACTGCTCTTTACCACCTTTTCCACCATCACTACCCACCAGCTTTTAATTCTCCCTCAAGATATACAAAAGGTAAGAGCCTTCTCTGCCTCTATCTCTAAAGACGTTTCTGCTGTTTGGTAAGCATTAGGTTTCAAGAAAATGACTAAGATAGATGAGTTGTTGTGTTACTGAAACGTGCAGGCTTGGTTGCACCAAGAAACAGCTTGAAGTTAAGAGAAGAGTCTTCAATATCTACAAACTACAAGGAAAAAGATAGCTTCAACATCCCTGTAAGTCAACACTAATGAGTTTACATTTCCTTCTAAGAGTAACTGATGGAGCCAAGTGATGATTCAAATCCAGGTGAGCGGGAAAAAAATCAAGTCTTAGAGCTACTCTTTTCCACACATCTTCTGATTACTGCGACACACCTAGTGCCAAGAAACCAAACGTGGTGGCTAGACTCCTGGGTCTTGATATTCTTGCTGATGACTTAGACCTTTGTAGATCATCAAGGAATACTGTGAGAGGACGGACATAGAGTCTCTCAGAACAGCTCAGCGACAAGATCATTACCTGAGAGCTCCAGGATCTCCTCTGCTAGGAAATCTGATGCCCGGCTCTCTCTTCAGCTAAACAGAGAGAGTAACCATAAAAGAGTTTGGACGTTGGAGATTGAAAGATGAGGAAAGGTCAAGTCGTAGACATAAGGAGAGGGTCATCACTAGAAGTCTTGGCAATGATATAACAAACTTGCTTGAGAATAAAAGGGCATGAACAGCAAAAGACCATACTGAGCATAGGAAGATGAAAAGTAGGTTTTCACAGAAGGAGGATACATTATGTTCAAAAATGATAAGATCTCCAACCAACCAAACATAGAAGTTGACACTTTCAAGAGATTCCAAGGAGAACCTCAAAAGCTGTAATGAACAGCCGCTTAGACCTACCAACGTATCAAAGTTCTCTTTTCATTCAACACCTAGCAAAGGAAAGAAGCAGAGAAGAAGGGCTTTCATCTCTATGTCCTTTTAGAGAAGAAGAAATGCAAGAAAATCCAAAACTGAAATGGTGTTTTCAATAACCCTGTAGAATTATTAGCTGACTCTGCCATAGAATGTCCTCGGAAACAGGTACACTTGTTTTAAATTTTCTTTAGTTCTGAGAAAGTACACACATTCACTCGTTTTCTATCAAACTTTGTAGATGAAAACAGGGGCGAAGGCACACTATCAACAAGGGGTGCACGTGCAGTAGTCAACACGAAAATAATACATACAACTCCATATATTAAGCTTCCGCACAAAATCACTATCATACAACGTTTTCATACTGCTATTGATATTACTATCAGTATAAAAATTAACACGAAAATAATACATACTCCATATATTAACTATAAAATCCGTAGCATAAATAAATAATTTTCCACAAAGAAAAACAATAATCAGCTCTACAAAGGGAGACAAATAAAACAAACTGTAGTATATAATTCTTATTAACTACCTTATTCGTGATTTTTATGCATATGGTGAATCCATTCAAACATCCACACTTATATAACTATATATACATGTCCGGGGCTCTACGAAAACAAGAACCAGTTGATTAAGATGCGACTAAATCATTGCACTCGACTTTCAGGCAATCCGATGGACAAGTCAGTTTCGACATCTGATATGTTTATGTTTCCACAACCACATGGAGGTGCACTCTTCTCACTCCCTAGGCTCGTCGACTGCATCCACAAGGGTTGTGCTTCAAACTGAAATGATAACATATTATTTTCAATCAAATCCAGAGAAGAAGAAAACTCAACAATGAGAGAGGAAAAGTAAGATCCGTGTTTAAAGTTTGTGCTTGTGCAATGTGCGTTAACTAATTAATATGCATGTCCTTGGATTATGTATTGTGTGTACCATTTGCCGCAGCCTACTTCCCTCGTTGAAGACCTCTTTCTCTTTAGCAATCTAATAATAGAGCAATTAAAGCAACGATAACTCACAAGGAGAATTAGAAATAAAATTTCTTCCATGTAAAAATGAAATAGAAATAGTACCTCTGCTTGTCCAAAAAAGATAAAAATAAATAAATAAATAATAGTACCTCTGCTTTTAGTTTCTCTATCTTATCTTCATTTAACTTAGCCTGCCAGCATCGTAAAATCCAGAATCATGAGCTCATCATTCGATTTCAACGACTCGCATTAGTTATTGTTCAACATTATGACAACATATATTACGATTGTAATTATGAGAATCTATTTTTTTTTAATTACTTCTGTATTACTCATTGTATAAAGCCATATATAGAGATATGTATACCTTTCTTGATCTGACTATAGTAAGGCTTTTCTCAATTTTGGTACCTAACTCGTTGAGTTCCTCCACCGAACACGAATCCAGATTTTGTCCCATCAGCTTCCTTAAGATGTTGTGAGTGCATATACAACCATATATTTCATATAAGGAAAACATTTAATTATAAGCACTTCGTAAGTATAGACAGATCAGAAACTTAATTACCGGCAATGAAGTTGTAGAAGTTCAATCTTATCCACCATTATCACCATTTCATTCTTGAGCTCCTGCAAATATTCCTGTTTTTGGAGATTCTCTGCCCCAAAATACTCGTTCCTATTTATCTCACATCTCTCCATCATCTTCTGGATGCTGTATACATTTCCAAGAACCTCTTCACTATTATTTATTAGCATATACATAGTTAATTTGCGAAAATTATTATCATGATCAACAAGAGCATTCACACATGCAAGATTCATGTTTGGTATAGATATATGTTCTAATCTGAAAATGTTAATCAAACATCAAGACATTTGTTCTAGAATTTGAATACACGTTCTAGTCACGCTTGACATTATCATGATTAGTACAATGGAAAACACAATGATATCCCATGCAGAGATGATGATATATATAGTAATGAGACGTTATGAATCTAATAATTGGAGTGACTTGGTTTCCTATATTATATACTTAGTCATCAATGATAATTACACTCAATTTAACTGTTAACAGTTTTCTATGCTTTAAGTGGTCAAATCAATTAGTAACCTCGAAACTATTAATGAAATGAACATTTGCATTAGAGATTTTTAGTTGCTTATTTAAGCTCACTCAAATGTAGTCATTGTCAATTGCTAACAAGGATACGATGATAATTAGTAGTAGAATATATAGGCCTTGGCCATTGTGGCATACCACAATTTAAGATCTTTTCGGATCTGGTGTAAGCAATTTCGCTGACCTCTTAAAATCAACACACTCAAGAATTATGAAAACTACTAGGGCTAAAGTTTGAGCCAATGACACAAAGCCATGAGGTACTGTCTCAAACATCATGTTGTTTCCTGTTCTTAAAACGGTCTAACTGTACTTTTAGGGTATTTATTCTATGGCATGATAAGTGGATCACTGAGGTTTTTTATAATTATAATAATGTGTCAAGTGGCTTCAGCATAAGTTCCAAGGTATACTAGGTTCAAAGTTCAAGAACGTTTTTTTGGGAAAACCCTAAATCACTTGCTCGTGCTTGAAGAAGAACTTGATGTAAGTTAAACAAACACATTTAGTCAATTAATTTGGTTGGGTTTAAAATTTTAAATAAAATTTTGTGGTACTTTTAAAAAAAATTATATGACTAAAGGAAAACCAAAGTACTTTCAAAGAGCATATCTTGGGAAAAACCAAACCCAAGAACTGCTAATCTAGAAATCCCTAGTACAGTTTCTGAAAAGAGACATGGACTGTATATGTAAATGAGTATTGAACCAAAAGGTTCACAAGTGATAGATACTTACTCGGAGCTAGCGAAATCATATAATCTTCCTTTCTGAGAAAAGACAATGGCGGCGACTTGAGCATCGCATAGAACAGAAAGCTCATGAGCCTTCTTGAAGAGACCTTTCCTACGCTTGGAGAACGTGACTTGTCTACTCGTCAAGTTCTCGATTCTTTTAATCTCGATCTTCCCTCTCACCATCTTCCTGCCATGATTAATGAATTCTTAAGAAACCCTAAAATCTGAACGATTGTTAATTGAAAGGAAAAAAAATAGTTTCTTACAAAAATAAGGGGAAATTACTTGGATCTGAATCCCAAACCAAGAAATGGTTTGTTGAAAACAAGAGGGAGAGATCTAAGGAGTAGATCAGTTGTAACCCAAAAGTCAAGGTGAAAACTTCCCCAAGAGGAAAAAATGTTGCAAAATCTGAAAAAATTAAGAAACCTCACAAACACCCGTTTACTAAATGGACAAGATTCGGTTCAAAATAACATATATAAATCTATGTAGACCTATAGAAGCCGACCGAGAAAATCTGGGATATGAACAAGGAATATTTTGTTTACAAGAAAAGAAAAAGAGAGATGTATGGGAATGACGATAAAATTGGTGAAAAGAAAATGAATGAAAAAGTCGTAAAGTCTCTCATTGGTCTACCTCTTTTTAGTACTCCTTATGCAGTGGCTCAAACCCTAAGTCAACAAGTCTTGCATTTGCTCTCTGATGTAATAAGGCTCAGATTTTTTATTTTTGTTATTTTTGCCGATAGACTTCGTTTATCCCATGTTCATACCTGACAAAAATATCTGTAAATTTTGATTTCAAATACTAATATACAATATCCACGGAAAATTAAAAAAAATCATAAATGTTAATATTTTTAGGAACAAATATCCGACCTCATTCAATCCATTATATGATTATATACATATATTAAAAAATTATATATAACTTATATAAATAATATACTACGTGTTAACATATTTTATTTATTAATTTTATTATATTAGTTATTAGGGTTATAAAAAATATTGCAAAACCTACTATAATTTGATAATATACTTGGGTTTTTTTTTGTACGAATCAAATCAAATATCCATCCAAAAAAATTAAAATGACCAGGATATCGGTAACATCAAATATCTGAATCGTTATAGATCGAATCGGATAACTGAGTATCAACCACAAATACATCCAATTTTAGTTTCTACCTTTTATTAATTCTATAATTAAGAATTCTATAATTTTAAAAATAGTTTAACAAAAATAAAATTTAAGAAAAATAAAAATATAATTTTTAAAACGAAAATATATCTGACACCTTAGATTTTACTAAAAAAAAATTTATAATTTAATATAATAAATGATTATCATTTTCGAGAAAAAAAATATTTTTTAGTTTTTCCTAGGTTTTAAAATTTTCTTGATTATGATAATTATACTATAAAAAATAAATTAGTAAATGCTATGTCATCTGAGGAGGTACTATTCCGTCAACTTTTTTTTGGTAGGAAACACATTTGAGGTTTGATATGATAAATTTTCAGTTTGAGTGTTAGAAATGTTAGTGAAAAAATGAACGTTTAAACTGCATAAATGTGTCATTAAAAATGTGATTTTCACGCATACACAAACTATTAAAACAAAACTTTTGATATTTTACTGAGCCTTGGCCCATTCTGTAGTTTACTGAACCTTGGCTCATACATAAGCGTCTCTTAGCGACCAGACTTGTTGACAAACATGGCACATATTTGCCAGATCATATTATAAATTATACGGTTGGGTTTAAAGATTCAAAATTTGTATAGAATAAGAAACATATTATAAAACAGAATTTCCCTTGTAAGATACAATTTTGTTCAAACAACGACTTTATGTCAAAACACCACACGGTCGGCCTCAGCGACAAAATCATTTTAATGTTGCAGTTTTTTTTTCTGTCAATCTTACATTAATTACATCATGGTTAATTCCAAGCCTTGGAATAAGATCGATCACACCAAAATTGTTATCCATTTATTTTTCAATTATCATACAACCATCATATTCAAGGGGCTCCATAACAAATGAAACAAAGATAAAATTAAGACTATGACCAACAAGAAAAGATAAGAATAAACTCTAGTTGTCCAATTAGGAATGTATCAGTTTTTGTTTGGATCAATCATATATAATAAAAAAGAAAAATCAGTAACAAACGAAAAAGTTATTCATTGAAAAATCAAAACGTACAAAAGCCAAAACAAACAATAAGAAAACAAAGAAAAAGAAATTAAGGGTGAAAATATGTAAGCATAATGTACACAAAACGACATCATATTTTTAACTTGTTATGAAGTAGGAAGGTTGATTTGAATTCTGATGAGAAGACCCGGAAAGACATCATCCGGGTCATGGATATGCGGGTTACGCTCCACGATAAACGGGTCACCGCACTTGTCGCTGATGCTATGAAGCGTCTCCCCTTCCCCAACCACATATATCTCCTCACATGGCCTCTCCATCATTTGCTTCCCTCTCCAAACCTCACCGCTTCTTCCCTTCCTCTCTGTCGCCGGAAGATTATCTCCACCTCCTCCGTGGAGCTGGCCGTTTCTTACCGAGCCAGACAGAGTTAGGACCAGCAGTGCGGCCAGAGAGTAACACAGGACTGTGTTTGACATCGACATCATGACTTTGGGTTCTAACAGGACACAGAGAGGGAGGGAGAATTTGTGATGTAAGAAACAAATATGTTTTGTTCTTTCTCAGGCGTGAGACGTGTTTGTATATACACACATGGCCATATTATAGTGAGCGCTCAAGCACTGTAGATATATACGAATCACATATTTTCCGGGGCGAACGGACATTATGCGGTAGAAGATCACGTGTCTCTTAGTGTATTTTATTTTTTTCTTAAGTTATTTGAATTAATTTGATTAAAATCTTCCTAGTTTAGTGAACACATCCAATTTTTAAATTTTATGTGTGGTGTAGTTATAAGCAATCACTATAAGCACTATTGATTAAATTAATTCCCAATGTTGGTTGATTAATCACGCATAAGTCACTAATAATAAAGAAGTACTGGTATTTTACTTCTAATTAAAATAATAATTATAATTAGAGCTTATAACATAATTAAAAAAAGTTGTGGCCAGTTCTACATGATTCGATTTGAGAATTTAGGGGCCTAAATATTTCTTAAGAAATTTTATAGTTTTTTTTCAAATTTAATGGTCTATTTTTGTATAAAAATTACAAAAGTTTTGGGGTCCAAGACAATGTTTCATTACTCTTGGTCCAATTCAGGTTCTTCATGTGTAGATAGAACATTTGTTTAACTCCACCTAACAGTTTTTTTTTGTCATCAGTCTCATCGCTAGTAATTACTATACGTTAAATAATCGTTCTTTCCCCCGTTAAGTTTTGCTTATTCTGTTATCTGGTGAATAATATTTGGGAGACATCACACATGTATGTATATCGTTCTTTTGTTATGTGCGTAGCTTACAAAATTTTTGGATTTATCTCGTGTTATTCCTATGGACCCTTGGTTTTAAATACTTAGCTAACTAGATGGTCGAAAAAGAAGCAAACTAGATGTTTGCATCTCACAATCTCGCTTTCGAAAATGATTGTATTACAACTTAGTTTTGAAAATAATTGGTTTCTTTACTGTTTGCTTGCTGTTTTTTCCACAACAATCTAAAAAATAACAACTGAATACGCTGCAAATATACAAAATGAATCATGATTACAAAGATTTGAAAAATCCAATTTTTACAAAGAAAAGGATACCCGGGCGTCAGACTATTCAAATATGAGCTTCTGAATTTTCTTTTAGTTTAATATTAATAATAAACCAATTTTGAATGATCATATATCATCAAAATAGGTGAATTTATAAATTATTCATATTGGGATTATGATAATTTATTAATTTAAAAATTTAATACTCTAAACATAACTCAATCTATTAAGATATTAAATATTTTTATGAAAAAACATTTCGTGATAATATATCTTGATTTTATATATTTATTAGATTATTTGATATATATTTTAACTACCTTTAATATGCATCTATGTATACAAATGTGTTTATATGAAATTGAAGAAATGAAAAAATATTAAATAAATATAAATTACGGATGAAATTCAAAATAAAAAGTTAATATATAATAAACCAATTTGCATCATCAAAATAGGTGAATTCTATAAATTAATCATATTGGGATTATGAAATTGAAGAAATGTGTTTATATGAAATTGAAGAAATAAAAATATTAAATAAAAATATATTACAGATGAAATTCATGATAAAAAGTTAATATATATATATATATATATATATTAAATTTTATAATTTGAATAGGATCATATATTTATTCAATTTCTTAAGAAACTTATTATCTTATTATATTATCAAAATATGTCACATTTTATATAATTTTAATTTAAAGTTAGAAATCATTGTCTATTTATACACTTATAGATTTTATACTGTACAATATGAAACATTCTAAGAAAACATTCTCTAGGAAGTCGGTATTGTGGATTACTTTCGGTTATATCTTAATTTTTAGTAGATCATAATAATATGAAAAAGACACAAATACACGTACATGTGGGACACATCAATCTTGCCCGTGTTACTAGCGTCATATAGTTTCCTAAGGTGTTGTGCTTGTGACATCTGGAAGTTTCCTTCGTATTGATTGGAAAGAAAGAAACCAAGAAATATTAGTAAGCGATATGTTATCCTCTATTTATTTATTTTTGCTAAATTGGTCGACCGACATACGACGTCGGCACATAAAATAACATATGTAGTGAGAATATAGAAAACAGACAACTCACCACATTTGATAGAATATGCCTATATAATGATATTAATGAGGCAAGTACTAGTTTAACGGTATTTTTTATTTCTTTTTCTTTTTGCATGAAATGTTCTCATTTTCCACATAACTAATAGCTTCTTGTTGACAGTTAGTTTAAAATTAACTAGATGATCAAATGCATCAACATCAATTTTCTAGACGTTTACGTGTTAGCTATTTCTCCTTCTACATCAATATTAAAAGAGGTGAATGGAAGAAGGAGCCACGAAGACAATGATTGATTTGAGTTAATCAAATTATACGTTGGTATTTGAAAAAATTATTTGCTTAGCGGATTATGTAAGTGTGTAACAACTGTCTTGAGCTCTTCAATCATCAAATACAAACAATATACCATCTCTTCTTATTTCCTCCTCACGATCTCCCGTCTCTTCAATTCGTATATGTAGTATATATATATATATACCATATATACTATGCTTGCAGAAAAAAGTATTTTAACATATCACTTGGAATTTTGATCAAAGAAAAAAAACATATCACTTGGAAAAGAAAAATGAACCTCGTTCATTTCTTTTTGCTCGGCTCGATGAATATGTTTTAGCTTAGACGATATTACCTAGATGAACCTTAATGAGTGTTTTCGAAATTTTATGTTGTAGGAAGAAATTTAAGAAATAGGATTGTTCATATCATGTTTATTCAAGTAGAGATAACCTAACTTGTCGTCGAAGAAAGTTGTAATGGGCTTTTTGGAAAACCCAATGTAATTCTTCTCCATTTTCAATGAGCTAATGCTATGAATCACTTTGAAGAGCTCGTTCTTGTGTGCTATAGGTTGGGAGGCAGAGTCCTCGAATCGCATCCACTGCACATTCAAGAAAGAAAAAAACTTGAGAATTTCGAGGAAAAGGGTTCAGAATCAGAACTAGAGGTTAATTTACTTGAGCTGCTTCAATCTCTAAGTCCTGCTTTTGAATATCAAAGGAGGTAGGTCTCAACAGACAAATGAAGAATAAATCTGACTTGGCAAAAAATGACTCGTGGGTTTGACTGCAAACAGAAGGCTACAAGGATTAGAGGATATAAGTATCAAGAAATAATGAAGTAGAGAGATGTGAGTACCAGAAAGCTAGAACCTCTAAAAACTCTGTGTCGATCTGAAGATAAATAGATGGAAACGTTAGTTTATTATATACATATATAGTGATTTACACACTGATGTTAAGATATGTGGGGTGTTGCGTACGCCTGTTTCTTCTTTTACTTCTCTAGTGGCAGCTGCAAAAATATCCTCCCCCTGTACACAATTGAACAAGGTGAAATCTCAAACAAACATTTAAATTAATACGGATTGAAAATTTATTGCGACAAAGAATTTGAAACACACCTCGTCAACTACACCTGTTGGGATCTTCCAAACACCTGATCCACGTAGCAGGCCATATTTTTCCTGCACTACAAGAATCTGGCCATCGTCTTAATTTCAGATGTTTGGTTTCAGGCTTAAAAATTAAAACTAATTCTCATATAGTACGCTAAACTTAATCTCATTGTTGATATGTGATATTCTTGAAACACCCTACTCGAAGTAATTGCATTATACAATTAATAAATTGGATTAATTTGGTGTCACGTTTGGTGGAAGTTACCATGGTAAGTTTTATGGGGTTCAAAACTAAAAATCATTTGCAATGACTAGTTTTATTGTCCATTAATCATCTACATACTAATTAAATGTTAATGCTAACTAATCTAGACCAAGTATTAACATACTCACAATATATATTAATGAGTAATGACATGGGTGAGATTTTCAACCACATGATGATAGCAAAACCCCTATTAAGTTTAAATTTGGAACAATTTAGTAAGTACCTCTTTGTTATGGTTTAAGACGACAGCACCAACACGAACACGATGAGAAGCATTAGAAGGAATAGTACTCTCAGATTCAGGAATCCAGTAAACTAGCATCAGGTAAGTTGGCTCAGCATGGTGATACCGGAAACCTTCCTGCATAGATTATTATTATTAAACCACAACACAACACTTTCTCTTAGGACGTACGAAATTTCATCTCAAACATAGTTTAGCAAATGATTATATATGTCTTGAACAAACTGACATAGAATTAGGTTTTATATGCATCACCTTAACCGCAGGTTCCACGAGGTTAACGTGTGAGAGAGGCAAATTTAACCAGACTCCCTTTTTACCCTGAGAGAAATAATCAATTTACACAATCAGAATCAACATATCATCACTCAAGAAGAGGGCACAAACCTGTGACCGCCACTGCGTGAACGAATATCTAAGCGTTGCAACGAAACACTTGGGATCCATAGGAGTTTTCATCTCCACGATCACTCCTCCGTACTCATCTTCCACAAACGGAAGTACCTCCTCACCAATCTTGTGTTCTACTACTCCATTGATCTTAGGAGCTTCGTGGTCAGACATGCTTCAAGTTCTTTTAAACTTTTGGGACTTATGAGACGCAGAAGATTGTCTTCAAGTAGTCAAGCAATGGAGACGAAAAACACAATAAAGGAGTGTGTGGTTTCAACGGGGCAAATGATTTAAAAATGAGGACACCACTTATATAAATACATTTACATAAATATCACCTAGTGGGGTGAGTTTGGTCATAAATCATAGTCATAAATTTCATAATGGCGCACACATCAAGTTGACTCCGCCCTTCGGTGGAGTGACGCAGTCCCAGACGTCACCTCCGACGACAGAAAATATATGCACACGTTAACACACCCTAATTAGAAAATACCTGTACTGCATTTAACTAAGAGAATTTGCTTATTGGCATCATGCATTCGACGTGTTTCGACTTATTAGCTGATTACGTGAAACAAAACCAACCTTGTAGAGTGCTAGTGAGACTAGTTTGACGCAAAAATGTTGTAAACTTGACAAGTGTTAACAAGTGCGTACACCTAAAAGTGTAACATAAAGTTCGTATAAAAAATTAGCAATCACAGGAAGAGACTGGCCAGGACAGTGAAGACTTGGATCCAAAAACAGAGAAGCCAATATTAGGTCATAAAATATGTTTTAAGAGCAAAAATAATTCGTCCACAGTGGATCTCAAACCCACGACCTTGTGCTCTACCAATATTAGGTCATAAAATATGTTTTAATAAAAAAATAATTCGCCCACCGTGGGGCTCGAACCCACGACCACAAGGTTAAGAGCCTTGCGCTCTACCAACTGAGCTAGACGGGCTACTTGTTTGTTTGGCACGTTAATATAATATCAAATCCATCCTTTTTTTTTTTGTAACCAACGGTTATTTTACAATCGGAACGACCATTTGACAAACATTTACAGACAATTCTCAATTAACTCTTTGATGCATAAGCATTTCAACAATGCTACTAATGATTCTCACAAGATGGAATATAAAAAAAAGAATAAATAGACACTCGGATCAGAAGAAAGATATGTAAAACAATGGCGAGGAACAAGGGCTCTGTTCCAAACCTTAAGGATGAATAGCAGTTGGTTGTGTACTCCACTTCCATACTTTAACTTGACCAGTTCCATCACCGGTGAAAAATAAACCCCCGGGACCTATCTGGATCGACCGTATCTCTTGCTTTGCTAATATCTTGCCCCTTTCCGTAAACCTTTGCATAAGAACGAACAAAACAACCAAGCTTTTGAAGAGGAAACAGACATGTAGAGTCATGATACCAACAGCAATGGAAGGACTTACGATGGCAAGTCATATAGGTGCAAGGTATTGTCGTTGCAGGAGCATAGCAATACCGGTTTGGCTTCTGCATCATGCACACCACAGAGAGCTAACACGCCCTGAATCCAATTAGCCATTGAAAACTCATAAGTTACATATATATATTGAACCCAAAGAGAGGATAACATTTCAATGAAAAACGCTAGGAAGTGTACATATTCTTCTTTGTGAGTGTATGTCACTTCTAAGTTTCCACCTTCAGTAGCAGCCCATATCTACAGTAGAAGCAACCTCAACAGGTGATACTGTCATATTCAGGATGGTAAGAAGGTAACGGAGCTTCTAGCTAATTAAAAATTAACCTTCACAGTATTGTCCAATGAACATGAGAGAAGGAATTGATCCCAGCAAATGAGAGACATGACAACTGAAGTATGATCTGTAAGCGTTTGTATACACTGCAGATTATCCAGGCTCCAAACCTATTAAAAAAACGATAAAGCAGACATCTATTAGCTCAAACAATCACAAATGGGGGTTTTTTCAATTCACGCATGATGGGATGGGCACTACTTACTTTAATAGAATTGTCCATGGAACCGGAGTAGAGTCTGTTAGCTCCAACATGTAAAGAAACAACTGCAAGGGTGTGGCCCGTAAGTGATGCAGCGGGATCAAAACAGCTAGTGGCAGTATTGTATCTCCATACCAAAATAGAGCCATCCTGCACACAGAGAGTGATACATCCTTGTAAGAACTTTGTAACTTACCTCTAAAATAAACTCCAGTAGACCTATACAGATGAGTCAAAGAAAATATAGTCAGTCCAAAGTATTTACTTGTGCGCCAGCGAACAACAGATCAGTACCCACAACCAGTGAATATACTTGGCCAACAGGTCCATTGAGACTCAGGTCCACATTGGTTTGGATATTCCACGCCTGTATATATAAATAAGCATCAAAACTCTATATCTGGAACAGTAACAAATCCAAACTTGGGTTGTCTCGTAATCCAAACTTACCTTAACAAGATTCGGCATGCCAACCAATAGCCAGGGGCCTTCACTAATCAAGCAACCAACTTCCCCACCAAGATTGAGTACACCTGTACACTACGTCACAAGAAAAAACAAAACTAGAACGCTAAGCACGCTTATACAACTAGTCAATCAGAAAGCATTCCGTAATGCAAACTGCAAACATGCTTATTAATTATCAGTGCTTTAAGTTCAATAGCTAAACTACATAAACAGGGTTGGTTTCATCAGTATGAGAGGAGAGACACATCCTTTGGTCCTAAGTCCTAACCAAACAGTGACAAGTATCCATTCAATGATCACCACTGTGGAACAAAACTCAAATTCGAAAAAGAAATGCCGCAATGAGCTCTAGAACCTGTCCAGAAGCAGAATCCCAAATCCGCAGAGTTTCATCTTTACTAGCAGTGTAAAGCTTATCAGAACCTGAAGGCAAAGCAATCCCAGTAACAACCTGACCAAAAAACAAAACCTGTCAACAACAAGAATCCCATCAAAACTATCCCCCCCAAAAAAAGGCAATACCTTTTGATGGCCATCAAGCTGAGTCAACAAAGGGAAGCTATCCCCAATGCTCCAACAATGCAAGTATTTACATTTATCCCCATAAGGACAATTCCCATCAGCCCAAAACTTACAAAGCTTCTCAGTCTTAGTCACCGTTCTGTTCCCACCGAATCTCCCCCAGCTGTTATTAGCACTCCCGGGTCCTCTCCTGTGGTTACTCGAACCCGCGAAACCAGAGTCATCACTTTTGTTGTTGTTGGAAGAAGACGATGATCCGGAGAATGGAGATGGACTAGGTGATTCTCTGTGGAGGTAAGGGCAAGGGTAGCGGTTGCAGCGGCCGGCACGCCAGTGGTAACAAACTTTCTGGTTAGAGGAGGCGCCGAGTCTGTTGAAGACTCTCTTGTTTCCTCCGTTGTCCATATCTAAATCCATTGGAATTGGTGATCGTCTCTTTCTCTCTCGCAAATCGTAAGAAGTGAGTCAGAATTGGATTATACTGTAAACGTTGAAGGGATCATTTACTGTTCGAAATGACCAAATCCGATTATAAAGCGCGAAAGAAGCGATCGAAAGTATTTACCTTTGAAACTGATCAATGGAAGAGGATGAAAGAGTATTTGAATCGGCTTCGTTTTTTAAATGATAAAAGAGGAGAAAGGACGTGAAGAGAAGAATTAGATACCTCCTCTGCCTTCACATCATCTGACTATTAGTTTTTTTTTTTTTTTTTTGATAAAATATATATAACACAGAGAACAGCACCGTTTTGTTGTTGTTACAGATTTACACTTGTATAACAATCTCAGATTTATTTGGTCTTTACTCAGAATTTGAGTAAAAACTTATCAACAAGTGAAGCATATGATTGATCCCTTTGTGCTGCCACCAGTTTCACAATGACTTCAAAGCTCTATGATCAGAGCATCCAGGGATCTGATGCGCGCTCTGTTTTATCTTAAACCTTTAGAATCGGTAACAGATTTTGTCTAAACAATACAAATATATGGGACCTGATTAGTATTTTGTTTCTACATGTACCATATGGAACTAACTGTCTACGTTCTTGTTAGAATGTCTTTCTCAAGTTATATTGTGTTCCTCTTACACTCCCATCAAATAAAAGCTCTCACTTAGGTAACGGTTATTCTAGCAAATCAGAAAGTCCCATTAAATACGACATCATTAAACAAAGAGAGGTCTCACATCTTCAACAGATAGATAGATAGATACATGGCTATGGAAACTCCCTAAAACGTGGATATACAAGTACATCAAAGCGGTAGGCAAAAGTCTACAAAAAACCATAAACAGGTAGCTCTTAGTGTTATACCTGTTTCTGTCCTCCGCCTCCTCCTTCACCAAACAAGAAGAGGTTAAGAGCATTTGCAAGGAAGAGGAGGGAAGTGAGATTAAAAACTGGTTAAATCAGAGCTGTTTCAATATTGAGCCAGCCATCTTTATTGAGAACACCATCTTTTAGTTAAATTATTATAAAATATAAAAATTTAAAATTTAAAAAGATAAAAGATAAAAGATAAAAGATAAATATAAATATATATAAGCTTACCTAATCATCTCTTATCTTACCTATCACCATCTCTTTGAGGCTCACCAAAATATCTTAAAGAGCTTCTTCTGTCTAGGGCTTCCACGCAACGACGGCTGCGAAATAATTCAATTACAGGTAATATTGTTGATTGAGATGATAATCTATTACAGCGATCTTAGATCTCATCTCTTTGCGGTTGAAAAAAACTAGAATGATACAGTTTGTCCATCTCGTTTCTTCTGTTAGTTGAATTGTTTAAAGAGCCGCTCTCTTTTTATATTTTTGGTGTTAAAAGTCTCATGCTTTGTTCTCGTTTGCAAAATCCTTTGTGTGCTTAGCTCAGATCTGAGGTTTCTCACCAAAATCCATTTAGATTAGATCTGTTGCAGCATGCCTTTGCTTGCGTTCCTTTTGATTCTAATATTCTGTCATGAATTGTAGTATTTTGTTTGACGGATTTGAGCTCCAATTGTTATACAAAGTTTGAGTCTTAGATTCAAATTTTTTTTTTTGTTATTTAGTTTTCTTTTGGTACGACACTAGACTTTTGTGAACAGTCTGTCATTGATGTCGTAGTGATTCACAATTCTTATTAGATTTGATACGCGAATAAAGTAGTCAGTACGTACATCTTCTAAAGCAGTCACAGTACGTACTGTTGGTGCTTTTTAAAAATCATCCTTTGTACTTACATGTTCCAAGGAAGCCTCATTAATACCTTTTATTTTTTTTAAACATGGTGACTGTGCAGGAATCATGAAGCCAGTCTTCTGTGGGAACTTTGAGTATGATGCTCGTGAGGGTGATCTTGAACGCCTCTTCAGGAAATACGGCAGAGTTGAAAGGGTTGATATGAAAGCTGGTAATCCCCTATTTTTCTTTTCCTTCTTCCTTTTATGTGATTTTCACCTCAATGCGCAAGCAGTATCCATAAAACACTAAGTACGATGTGTCAAAGCAAAATTCAAATGCACTGCAAGACTCATTCCCTCCCTTCCACCTCCACACATCTCAACCAAACAGAGAAGCACTCTTTTGCACAACATCTGCCTGGTCATGTCAAGGAAGCGTGCTGCAAAGTACCTCAGATGATAGAGAACACATAAAAAAAATAGTGTAAAACCGCCATACTCAGCATTTTCTTTGGCGCAGGATTTTTAATCTTGGGATGCCTATACACTCTCACCATGCTATGACTGGACCATAAGGAAATCTATCTCACTGTCTGTCCCACCAAAACGAGTCACTTTACCTTCCGCTATGGCACTGCCATCTTAATTACATTTCATTCCCTCCTCTACAATGGAGCAGACACTCTGTTTTCATTCACAATTCCGTCTTGACCACCACATTTTCAGTTGTTCCTTGACATATATAATTCCATTATGCAAGGTCTGTAACTGCTTCACTAGTCATTTAGTTTGCATAGTTTTTTTAGGTTCTAGGAACGTTTAATTTGTTCTACTAGGTAAGTGAAGGAGGAAGGACAGTCTCCGTGCACGCTGGAGGTTCCTAACTTGTTTTATAATGCTCACTGTTCATGGACTCAGTTCTATTATGCTTGTGGCTTCTTCTTCAGGGTTTGCTTTCGTGTACATGGAAAATGAAAGGGATGCTGACGATGCTATCCGAGGGCTTGACCGCATTGAATTTGGACGTAAGGGACGCAGACTTCGTGTTGAGTGGACAAAGGTAACAGACTGACCTCATTCACTTCTTTATGATGTTTGACATACTGATAACCTTAATGGTCATTTGTATAGGGTGAACGTGGAGGTGATAGAAGAGCCAGTGGTGGCTCAAGAAGATCTTCATCGAGCATGAGACCTTCCAAGACTCTGTTTGTGATAAACTTTGATGCGGATAATACCAGGACCCGGGATCTAGAGAGACACTTTGAGCCATACGGCAAAATTGTAAACGTCAGAATCAGGAGGAACTTTGCATTTATCCAATACGAGGAACAAGAGGATGCAACGAAAGCACTGGATGCTACAAACAACAGGTAGGTTTAAGTTCATTTACCAAATACTTTCATTACTTAAAAACTCACTCACAATCTGCCTGTGTTTTAAATCCAGTAAGCTGATGGATAAGGTGATATCGGTGGAGTATGCAATGAAAGATGATGATGCAAGAGGGAATGGACACAGCAGTCCCGATAGACGCCGTGATAGGTCACCAGAAAGGAGAAGGCGATCACCTTCTCCTTACAAAAGAGAAAGAGGGAGCCCTGACTATGGCCGAGGGGGTAGCCCCGTTGCTGCATACAGAAAGGAAAGGACCAGTCCTGATTATGGCAGAAGACGTAGCCCAAGTCCTTACAAGAGATCAAGGCGTATGAGTCCTGAGTATGGTCGTGACCGACACAGAGGCAATGAGAGCCCTCGCAGGAGGGAGAGAGTCGCAAGCCCCAACAACAAGAGAGATAGGATGAGCCCTGATCACAGCCCGTTTAAGAAGGAGAGCCCGAAGAATGGAGGTGGTGAAGTTGATAGTCCAAGGAGGGAGAGGTCGAGGTCTAGCCCTGAAAATGGACAAGTCGAAAGTCCTAGCTCTATAGGGAGAAGAGACAGTGATGATGGTGGAGAAAGCCCGATGCAGAAGAGGTAAGATGGTTTAAATATGTTAACAGCATATGTATTTGTGAAAAAAATGAGATAAACATTGTTTTGTTTTTTTTTTGTGGGTTTCGTTTTCAGCCGCTCTCGTTCGCCTCCAGCTGAAGAGTGAGTGAAAGTGAATCCAACTATCTATCGAAGTAGGATGTTGTAATCTGTTTTGTAGTCAGACTCTGTCTCCTCTGTGTTTCTTGATACATTCAAACTCGGGATCTCTTTCATTGTCGGATTGAAAAACTTGGGGTCTTGTATGCTTAAAATCTTCCATTCTACTCAACTATTCGTTTCTGTATTTATCATATTCCAGTTTGAAGTCTAATCATGAACAGAAAGTCCAATCATCAAGCCTATAAAAAATGAATATACATGTGTTTATTTAAAAAAAATTAATCAAGCCTATGGCAGATTCGTCTTCGACAGCCAAAATTATGAAGATGATTCGGCTAAAGCATGTTGGGAGCACCATTGAGGAAAAGACCATGCCATATCCATAACTTCAGTCGAGACAGCCAAAAATATGGTATGTAAAATTCAAATAGTTACATAGATTACTATTTGGTTCATTAATTAGCTGCATAAGTCTTGAAACTAAGTTACATAGGATATTATTTGGTCCATTAATTAGCTGCATAAGTCAGTGGATCTACTATTTTCTTAGTTTCTTAATTCTTGTATGGCATATAGTTGAAAAACTGGAATATGTTTATTTAAACCGTGTATGGTTTTATATATGATGATCAAAAATTCTACAATTACTTCGGTTCTACTGATGCAAATACATTCAGTTTATCTGCTGTAGATTTTCCAGTGCATCACAGCCTTGTTCAAGGCGCCAATGAATGATTGAGAGATTGGAGGCCTTCCTCACAGCTGATGGAGGCAACACTGTCAGCATTTTTGATCGATGCATTGATACATACATGATGTATTCTTGTCATATCCATCGACATTTCGATCGATGCATTTATATTTTTTGTATTCTTCCTTGTTAAATTCATTTATTTCCAAAACATTCTCACTTCCTGTGTACAGTTTTAAGAAAGAGTTGTGTTTTCGTTTCTCCTCACATTTGAACTGATAGATTTGGAAAGATTTCTGTTTGCAAAAATTTAAATTATATTTTAATTAAAACCTATTATCACTTATGAGTTTTATTTGTAACATATTACCTCTTACACTTAATTGAAGTATTAAAATGTTAACCGATATGATAAGACTCATTCTCAGATTACTTAATGACAATTATTTATTCAACACATTCTAGATTTTACGTATACAATGATATATTATTTAAAATAAATAAATTTCAACAATTAAGATTTCGTTACGCTTTTAAAGTACATATCTAAATCTAGTGTTTTATTTTGTTTCATGTTATCATATATCTCATCTCCTCTATCCTTCTTGATGCATTTGTCTTTCATCTATTTTATTCGGATTTTATTCACATTTCTCATTTTCTTTATTCATCTTTGTTACTTCATATTTTTCATCTTCCTTATCTTTTATTTATTTATTTCATATCTCATATTCCTTATCTTTTTCATCTCCTATCTCTTTTGTCTTTCTTAGTACATTCACATCTCTCATCTCTTTTATATATATTTCGTAACTCCTATATTCTTGTTTATGACCACATATTTTATATATTTTTTTATCTTTTTAATTTTTATATCTCTCATCTTTTTATATTTTTATTTTTATTTCTTAGTTTTTATTCTTCTATGTGACATTATATTTCTCATTTTAATTCCTCATTTTTTCCTTTATATTTGTATATTCATTTGTTTTATATTTTTTATACAAATATTTAATATCTTTTTAATGTATTGGTTATATGTTTCAAAGTAAGGATAAGTTACTCCACCGTTAAATAATTAAGAATAAAAGATAATATCGCTAATATCTTCTATTTTTATTTTTTAAAACAGTGGAATAACTTGTCATTACTTTGAAACACCTAACCAATAAAATAAGGAAATGAAATAATTCTTTTTATATGTTTTATTTTCTTCTATTCTTATTTATGACCTTATATATCTTATCCTCATAATTTTTTTTCTCTCTCATGTTTCTTTTGTCTTCATATCTATCAAATTCATCCACCATTCTCTTTACCTTATCTTTTCTCATCTCTTTTACTCTTCTATTCTCTTTGATTTTGATTTTTCATACTTATTTTCTATCTTCCTTGTTCTTACTGTACATTCATACCTCTCATCTACCTTATTCTTTTGAACTCTATATCTCAAATATCAATCAGACCAAGTAAAGACCAAGTAAAGAAATCAAAACCAAAAACTAGGTAAAATACTGAATTTATGTTTGTATAGATACACATTTCAATAATCTAATCATATAATTTTGTATAAAGATATGTTGGGAGATAGAAAATTCAGTAGGAGATTTCAAACATATACCAGCAGAGTTTCTAGAGAGAATTTCTTGTTTTATATTAAATTCAGTTGGAGATTCCAAACATATAAATTCTTATTTAATAGAAATTTTCAAATTTACCGTATGACATCATCTTTTAGATCATTGTTGGGATAAAAATGTTATTTGAATGATATTATCTACATCTGAATTTTTTTTTTTTAACTTTCAAAAATAAAAGTTATATATCCTTTTAGAAATAACCAATGATTATTTGACTTGGTAAAGAGGATATCTAGTGTTAACTTGTGTTTAACCAATACTACACTCGCTAAACATAGAGAAAAAACACATATAACACTTATTACATAGCAAGTACTAATTAACTGTATGTTGTCTAGGTTATTACAGAGAGGGAAAATGAATGGGCAAGAAGATGATTCTGATGATTTGCTTAGATGCATTTCGAGTCCAAGCTTTATGAGAAGAGCTGAAGATGATGATACTAATAACAACATGGATGCTGTATTTGGTGCTGGTGTTCAAGATGGTGGAAATACTATAAACAACATGGATGCTGTATTTGGTGCTGGTGTTCAAGATGGTGGAAATACTATAAACAACATTATGCACACCACTCAACAGATCCAAGAACCCGCAAAGTTTTTTCACTTTCTTGAATTACGTGATGCAACTTTCTATCATTTTTTTGGAGATTAATCACTCTTTTACTTTTGTTGTTCTTCTTTTTATGTGTAGCATATACCAGGAGTGTCCTCATCCTATGGGAACCCAAGAGAGGGTACATGACATACAAAATGCACCAATGGAGCTTGATTCGTTTATGAATGATTTTTTGGTGAGTCCATCTGTTGTTCAGCCTTCTTCTTCCGTAAGGATCTCTAGTCCAAGAGGAAATCCATTACCGGAAGATAATTCGTTATGGGACGATTTGTTGTTGGACATTCTTGGTCCATCTTCTGCTCCTACTTTAACGCTCAATCCTGTAAGACATTTGGCAACAGAACCTGATCCGATGATGAATGAAAGATCAACGTTGTTGGTCAATCCACATGACACACAACCAGGAAGTGTTACACCACTAGAAGTTGATTCTGGTGGTGAAAATTTGCCGAATAACATAAAATCATTGTTGAAACTTGCCAATACTGCTATGAATGAGTTGATTACACTGGGAGAAAAGAAGAGTCCATCATGGAAAATAGACTCAAGCACTAAGAGAGAAACATTGGACTATCAGGAGTATAATAGTTTTTTTAAAAATGGTTTTGAAAAGCCTCCTGGATATGTTATAGAGTCTTCTAGGGAAATAGGTACAGTTCTCATGGATAGCTTGGATCTGGTCAAGACTTTTACGACGGTAACAACCTCTTAACCATTTTTAGTGTCAATTTGTTCAAAAAAAGATATAGGTATACATATGTTTCAAAACCCTAATCATTTATACAGTCTTTGTTTTTGTTTTTTTTTTTTGGACAGGACGACTGGATCAACGTGTTTGCGCCTATTGTGTCTGTGGCATCAATCCATAAAGTGATACCCAACGGTTATGGTGGACCTAGAAGTGGATCACTTACACTGGTAATTTTGTATCTTTGAACCATCTCTAATATTTGCTGATAATCCAAAAAGAAGAATAAAAACACTAAAATATTTCAATTTGGTGAACTATATTCCTTGGGCAGATTACAGCTGAATTTCAAGTTTTATCTCCGTTGGTGCCAAAGAGACAAGTCAAGTTTCTTAGGTACTGCAATATGCTCAGAGAGGGCTCATGGGTGATTGTAGACTTCACTCCTCGTCAAGAAAACCTGAACTTCTCGTCTGATGATGGTTCTTACCGCTTACCTTCAGGTGTTATCATACAAGATACTCGCAGTGGTTACTCCAAGGTTACTTATAATCATGTTTCTTTTTGATTTGGTAGTATAGATCCGTTCTCACTTTCAGTGTGAGTTCGGTTTATATCTATTTTGTTTCAGTTAGACATACTACATAGAGAATATTTGAATTGACAGGTGACATGGATTGAGCAAATGGAATATAATGAGAGCTCAATCCCTCAATTCCCCAAGCTTTTGGTAACTACTAGGATCGGGCTAGGTGCGATGAGTTGGCTCACAACTCTGCAGAGACACTGCAGAAGTCTTTCAACCCTTGCAACTATCAACCTTGATGATAAAGTTTACCAAGGTGACTATCTAGTTTCTTTTTTTTTTTAATGTTTCTTAAATATTGGAAAATGGATAAGAAACACAATAGGTCTATCAATTGCTAACATTTATTGAAACTCGATGTAGTATTTTGGCAGATATTCAATATACAATAACTACATTATTTTTAAGGCTGTCCATGTTTTCCATCTAGGACTGTCTTCAAAAGTTGCAACTGAGATAGTGAAGCTAGCTCAGCGTATGACTATAAACTACTATTTGTGTATCACCGACACCGCCTCTCCCGCGAGCAGATGGAAAAGAAATGATTCAGGGAGTGAGGGAAAAAACACAAGAGTGGTGATCCGAAAGGAAAACGTGGGTGATCATACTAAGCTTGTGTTGAGTGCATCCACTTCTGTTTGGTTCCCAGTGAGCAAGAAAAAAATGTTTGATTTCCTCAGAAACCACAGAAAGAAGTGGGATATCTTGACCGTTGATGTCACCACCCCAATTCAAGAAAAGATCAAGATTCAAAAATCAAAATTCCATAAAAATGAAGTCTCTCTTCTTCAAATCGTGAGTTGTTTTCAAAATAAAATCTGCTCTTTCTTCTTATGTTGTTTTATATTACATTATTTCACATATAGTTTGCAAAATAAAAACAGGCACCTGATAGCACAGTTCTGCAAGAGACGTGGAATGATGCATCTGGTGCATTGTTGGTGTATGCACCAGTGGAAATAAAGGAGATCCTGGCAAGTGAAAATTCAGATTCTGTGCAGATTCTTCCTTCAGGTTTCTCGATATCGCCAGACGTGGGAAGAGAGATTGATCCAGGCAGAAGTGGTGTAGGATGTCTAGTAACACTTGGATATCAGGTGTTGCATAGAGTTAAACCAACTGAAGATGTCGATCAAGAATTTCTTACAAAAGTTGAGGGACTCCTATATCATACTATAGAGAGTATCAAATCTGCTTTATCTATATGATTATAGATCCATTTGCTTCTCCTGATTATGATCTGTTATGTTATTATGTTATTTGCATGACTGGAACTTATCTCAGATTTTTGTTCTTTTTAATATGTTACCAGCTTTAAACAGGATAAAGGTTTCTTTAATTTTTCGCATTTCTTTTACTTAAAAACATTTATGTCATACATGTTTGTTGGATTTTATTTCCACTATGCTAGGTTCATTCCATTGTATACGTCCCTGACAATACATAAATGAACATACTTGATTGTGCACAAGAGATCATATATAAGTGATGCTAATAGGTAAAGTAACCTTATAAACTGTGTGCTGCAGCCTGAAGTGTATAAAGACTTAAAGCAAACTAAATTTCATCACCTGAATAAATAAATGAATCTCTTGACTCTTACTTACTATTGACTATGGGAAGCTCATCAAACATTATGAATAAGATCTCCATCTTCCATTCCTTCAATAGTACTGTCATAGCCGGTCCTGAGCCAAAAAAAATTTTAGGCCCCCAAATATGTAAAAAAAAAAATTTTAGGTGAAATCGTTTAAAAAGTTGCCTTAGGCCCCTTATTTCTCAGGGCCGGCCTTATAGACTGATAGACGGCTTTAGGATGATCTCTCTTAAAGATCAGAGATTGATGGTTTTAATTTATTTGTTTCTTCTTATTCATCCCCCTGATGGTCAAAAACAAGACTTTGAATTACTCTTCCATGTGAAGAGAGATATCAAAAAGAGATCCTAAGTTCCTAAGTACTAGTCACAAGCTGAAAGGAAAGTGGGAGAAGAAGAAACATACTTCATCTTGTACTGATTGTATATATTCTCTTCAGGCGAATTATAATAGATTGCAACATGAAAGAAAGAAATGCTGGCATATCTTGTCAAAAGAAAATTCATACGAAAGCCTACACGACAGCTGAAAAGTGAAAACCATATAGAGCAGTTCATGGCGATGAAATGTGAAACCCTCACTGAGAAGAAAAAAAAAGACTAATAACATTTACATTACGAACTGGGGATATATAGATCTTGTGAACTCTCTGAAGCACCCATCCGATAGAGTGAAAACACCATCAAGATTTAGTCTGCTCTGGCGAATGAAGCTGATAAATACAAAGGAACAAACCTGAGAAACCAAAGGGAATTTACCAAAGTCCTTTTTTGGATTTTTAACATATTTAAGAGAAGTTTATAAAAGCTTATACTGTTAATCTCCATATGCTACGTGAGCCATTATGGGAATTAAAGCAACTTGACGGATATATATAGCAGTTTTTCCTCCCATGCTAGGTTCCATTAAAAAAAATTTTTGGCTATATTCATTCCTCTGGAGTGATTTACAAGCATAAGCGGTTTCTGGTAGGTTTTTTGGGCCACGCTTTAAATGGGCCTACTCAAATCCGGCCCGAATATTTATCGGGACACATTTAATATACGCTTTAATTGAGACGGTGTCGTATTGGCATCTCCGTCGAGTTTAAATACTCTATTGCCGTCGCCGCCACAGAGAGAAAGAGAGGGACGGAGGAACAAAACTCCGGCAATATTATTTGGGTTAGTGGATCAGGGAGAGACAGAACAGAAAGAGAGAGAGATGGCTATGTCTCAGATTGTGAACACGTACCCGCTTTCAAACTACAGCTTCGGGACTAAAGAACCTAAGCTCGAAAAAGACACCTCCGTCGCCGACCGACTCGCTCGAATGAAAGTCAAGTAAGATTCCTTCTCTCTTTTTGTTTTCTGTTTTCTTCTAGTAGCTACTGCTGAAGAAGATACCAGAATTAAGAGAACCCTAGAAAGCTCCGGCCTTTACATGCTTAGATCATGATCTTGCTAATCTCGTAAACGTTTTGAGAGTATTAGATGTTTATATGCGTACCTGTGATCTTGCTGCTGCTAAATTTATTACCTTCATTGTAAATTGTTTTTGAGAGAAATTAAATTAGAGAATTTTCCTTGGGCTCCTTTGATTTCATATATTTTATATCGTGGTGAATATAGAGAGTTAGTGTACATACATGTTATATAGAACACTTTTGTTTTTATAACTTCGTCGAAAGTCTTATGCTTTTTTTTTCCAGTATAAGTGATCATGTTCTAGTTTGGAATTCTTTAGATTTTAATTCAAGTAAATTTGTGGAGTCTTATGGATGAAGGATATGTCTTTATTAGTTTTGATTGATGGTGTGTTGCAGCTATATGAAAGAGGGTATGAGGACTAGCGTTGAAGCCATTCTTCTGGTATGTGTTTTTCTACCTGTGAGCTTTATTTTTTTGCAATTTTTTTTGTTGGAGCACAACCCTCTGTCTTACAATCGGTGGATCAGCTATGAGTTGCATTCTTATTGTATATTCATAGAGATAATGCTACTCAAGTGTTAAACTTGCTTGTAGTTTATCTTGGCGTTCTTTGTCGGCATGCGTTTACCCATTGTATTATTAGAAGCGTGGCATAAATATTGAACTGTGCGATATTTGACTGAAGGCATCTACTTCCTTTTCTTGTTGACATCTCTAACTCAATTTTGCGCTGTTTGAATAACATTATGTTTAGAAGAAGCTTTAATAAGGATGGACCAAAGTGCACTTAGTAAAGCCACAAGCTTCTTCTAGTCAGTTTTTGATCAACGCCATTTAGCAAGCATATATTATGCTTCTTGTGTTCTCGTTTTTTTTTCATTCTTTGTGTGCACCCTTCCCCTTCTAAGTTTTCATGTTTGTCTATAGATTAACATCTACTTCACAGCTCACTTTCTCATCTTTTGACATTTTCTTGAAAACATAAGATAATATGTTGACATCCTAAAGGTCAATCTTGTAAACGTATGTTAAGTGACTGATCAGTGTCAAGTCTAGAACTGTTAGTACCTACTACGATCTGAGATTTTTTATGTATCTCCAACCCTAAATTTTTTCTTGATAACTTTGGCTGATCAACCTTTCAGGTACAAGAACACAACCATCCTCACATACTTCTCCTGCAAATTGGTAACACATTCTGCAAACTTCCAGGTGGACGCCTGAAGCCTGGAGAAAATGGTATGCAGCTACCATCTGTTTATTAGTACTTTCTGTTCTCCTGCTATTTTCTCTGTTTCTTCACTTTCAATACTGTACGATGTTCTGTCTTGTAGAAGTTGAAGGCCTGAAAAGAAAGTTGACCAGTAAACTTGGAGGCAATTCAGCTGCTCTTGTACCTGATTGGAAGGTACTATTCTCGTTTCCTCTCTATTTCTTTAACTGATAGTGAACAAATATTTAGGCATAGGTAGATACCTCAAAAGAACTAGGTCAGTGTGGCATGTTTCTTGCACTTAATGTAATCGAGAACCAATTCCAACTTTTTGGTTATTACACTTTGGAATTCTAGTCATGAGGGATTCATAGAAGGAAACAAAGATAAGTCTGGTTTCTTTGCCAAAGATTTGATATCGCTCTGATCCGTAGTTTCTCGCTTTTCCCCTTTAACAGGTAGGAGAATGTGTTGCAACATGGTGGCGTCCAAACTTCGAAACCATGATGTACCCTTACTGCCCTCCTCACATCACGAAACCAAAGGTATTAGAAAATATTAAAGCAATGTAGCTTCTCAACAGCCTCTTTTACTGTTCTTCTAAGTAGGTTTTGTGTATGTCTTCTATCTATGGAATGGCAGGAATGCAAGAGGCTTTTCGTTGTTCACTTGTCTGAGAAAGAGTACTTTGCAGTGCCCAAAAACTTGAAGCTCTTGGCCGTCCCTTTGTTTGAACTGTATGACAACGTTCAGGTTTATATTTCGAGATACTATCAAACCTTTAGTAATTGGCTCTTACCCCAAAAACTTCTAACCGCAATATTATTTTCCTGGAACAGAGATATGGACCAGTTATATCGACCATTCCGCAACAGCTATCCAGATTCCATTTCAACATGATTAGTTCGTGATTCTACTTACTTGGAACAAGAACCCTGTTTGATGGTTAGTTACTTAGGCACGGTAGAGTGCTGTAGCTACCGGTTTAGAGAATGATTTGTGTGGGTTTTCTTTTACATTTTAGACTTGCTCGGTTTACGAAGAACCGGGTTCATTCAAGTTTCAGCACAACCAGATTATTAGATCTCGTTTCTATCTAAAAGCATTATCATTATGTGACTAACGGCGTTCTTGTCTTACCATGGAACATGTAATTTCACTGAGTGTTAAATGATGTTTCTATTTTGGTTACTATGTACTCCATGTTAGAAACAAAAACTAGGCCATGTGAAAAATAAAACGTTCTTATTACCCTACCACAAGGCCTCATTGAGTCATTGGTCGATGACTCGAAGTAGAGAAGTTTTGTACATAAACAATCCTAAGTAATCACTCTTAAAAATTAAAGACAATTCATAAATAATTATAGAATGACTAAACATTAGATGATGATGACATTAGATGTGGTCACTGGCGATTAGTTTGACGGCAAATTATATTGTGGTCAATAAGACAAGAGTACAGTTTTGTTTTTTCGCTTCCCTCTCAATCTCTTTGTTCATCGTTTTCAATAGGCATTTTCACATGCCTATAGAGCCAACAATTAGAAAACAAAATCAGATTATTTTTAAAATTGACGACAGCTCATTTTGATCGGGACATAATTTAAATTGTATAAGTAACAATATTCCTCAAATAAATCTTCATTACTAGTCCTATTAAATTTTCAGAAGAAAAATTATAAAATAATTTCCTGCAACAAATAGGAAGGCCGTGTTGACTTCACTATAAACATTAAGAAAAATGTTTTCCAGCCAGCTTAATATTCAAAAAGTTATCAAAGTAAGACATACCTTGTAGATAAACTTAAATATTATTTCGAGTTCTTGGTCTCTCAAATACAATCTGTCTACTTGCAATTAATACTTTCCTAAAAGACACTTGTTTAACAGATTGGATGATTCTCTGCAATCATTGTTTCATTATTCACAATCATTGAACTGAATCAGGTAGATAATTCCATCCGGATTAAGTTTCTAACATAAAATGTTCATTGAGTAATCCTTACGTAATCCAAACTAGAGAAGACTGTCATATTCTCTCGAATTATTGCTGATATATTGACATTTTTGGGTATGAAGATGTTACTGTAAATTCGTAATTACATTGTCCATTGCAAATTGTAAATTACATTGATATCTTATACTTTTTATGATGTCCATAGGACCATATCTGCTCATTTGTTTCTTGAGTTGAAACTATAGATCTTAATTAACACTGTATCAATAATTTAATTTCATGGAAGTAAACTTTTGCTACACCTAATCCATCGTTACATATATTCCATTATGACTTTTGTCATCACTCCTTAAACAAATGCATACAATACGAAAACATGCATATAAATATCCGACGTTTTATGTCGTCTAACTATATAATATATACAGCTCATTTGTCTTCTATTCTAAGCAGCCCCATTGGGTCATTTCTTAACACTATGTAGACTTTATGTGTGGACTTTTGGTGATATATATAAGTTTTCTAAACCATAATATTTACACATGTTTCAGAACAGAGAAATGGTGAAAACTAAATCTGGAGAGAGGCTAAAGCAGAGACAGAGGAAAGGGTTCTGGTCACCTGAAGAAGACGAGAAGCTAAGCAGATTCATCCTCTCTCATGGCCATTCTTGCTGGACCACTGTTCCCATCAAAGCTGGTCTCTCTTTTTAATTTTCTTCTTTAATTATTAATTCTTCTTCGGATTGATCCTTAATTACTTTAACTCATTTTTTTGTTGGATTGAATATGAAAAGGGTTACAAAGGAATGGGAAGAGCTGCAGACTAAGATGGATTAATTACCTAAGGCCAGGGTTAAAGAGGGATATGATTAGTGCAGCAGAAGAAGAGATTATCTTGACGTTTCACTCTTCCTTGGGTAACAAGTAAGCATAGTCCTAATTGAAACCCTAACCCTATTGTTCCAGCAGATGCTAAAGAAAACAGTTTTTTTTTATGTGAATAGGTGGTCGAAGATTGCTAAATACTTACCAGGAAGAACAGACAACGAGATTAAAAACTATTGGCATTCTCATTTGAAAAAGAGATGGCTCAAGCCTCCATCTATCTCCTCTTCTTCTGAATCAAATGTTTCTTGCGGAGAAAGAAACCCACAAACCTTGGTCTCAAAACACGTCATCTCTTTCCAGGGAGCGCCAGAGAAGAAAACTTCATCTCCATCACAAGAAAGTAAGGGCAACAACAACAACTATCCATGTTCTTCTGGTCATGAGATTCCAACGCTTTTCTTCTCCGAGTGGTTCTCTTCCTCAGATTCCCATTTTGATTATTCCTCTGATGTGACAGACTCTAAGCACAATCAAGCTCCAAGTATTGAAGGGTCTGAATCATATCACCAAGAATCAGGTGATGTTGATCAGTTCCATTACAACGAAATGATGATTAACAACAGCAACTGGACTCTTGACGACGTTGTCTTTGGCTCAAAGTGTCAGAAGCAGGAGCAAAAAATTGATAGAGACGTTTCAGATTGTAACTCTTCTGTTTTTTTCTTTTCTTCATCTACAATGACGTAACTATGTTAAGTCAAAACTAATGTAAATCAAATTTGTAAAGGAAAAAAAAGTTGATGATGAAATGTTAAAAGATTTGCAAGATTCATTAACTTCATTGAAGATTCTTAGCACAAGAAGTAGCAAACTCGTATTCAGTTAAACCAAACACAAAAAAATTCGCTACAATTACATCATATAAATATGATTCAGTGAAATAAAAGTGGTAACAATACAGATATGAGTGGAATGTAAAAAAATGTTTCATATAGCAGAATAGCTGTTGTTATCATCATCAATGGAGGAGGACGGCGAAGGAGACTTAGCAAAAACAATGAGTACCACAAAGGCACCAAATAGAATGGTGACAATGGCCGTGAAGTTCACAAGAAATGCTTCTGTTCCATACTTTTCAAGCCCTCCACTCTCCAAGAAATTCAGCTTTTTCAGAAACCCTAAAGCTGCGTTCCCAACCGCAACTATATAAACAAATAGACCGAGCATTGCGTGCCACGGAAGCAACCCGCTTCTCAGTTTTTGTGACCCGCCTGGGAAGAAGAATACTATGAAGCTGTACACCCACTGAAACGTTCAAAACTTTAAGATCAGTTTCCTCTATTCATTCATTGTTATATAGTTTTGTTTCAAAACAATGTTTTAGTCCTAAGTGTTTGTGGTTGTTCTGTAAGTAGACTTGAGAAGTCCATGGGATAATACCTGGACGGCATAGAGAGAAATGACACCAGTACCAATCCAGGCATGGAGGCTGTAGAGATGAAAGATTCCACATTCCATGTGGTTCATGAAGACTGCACAGATTCCCAATATGCCGAGAGCCAGAGCAATGGCATGGAGAATGAGGTGGATCAACTTCTTCACTGGTGTCTCCAGGGGAAGGGCTTTGTAACTTATAATTGCTGCATTTTCCATTTTCAAAAGAAAAAAGAAACACAAGTGTAAATGTTAGTCTTTAGGTTTCTATAAATTGATCATACATCAATGAGACAAGTGCAAATAGTAATAAAAAATTTTACTCAACTGTCCACTAGAAAATGTTATTGTTTACCTTCTCCTCCCAAGATTACAAATCCTATGATCATCAGAACAGGGTGCAGCTGGATCACATTAAAAAACAAAAAAGAACATAATATGAACTTTGGACATAAGATTAAATCCAAAGGAGAGTTCATTTTCGCTACACCACCAATCAAACGTCAATAAAACCAAACATCCTCTTAAGACCTTTTTCAATGAATCACTCTATTTTTCTTTCAAAATAGAGTAAATTTATAATATGGTTAGATTATATTCTAATAAACTATTTTTTATTATATTATAGGATAGAAAATGTAGTAGCCTAGTAGGGTTGAAGTTACTTTACTATAAACTGTATTTTAGATTGAAAAATAAAGTCAGGTTAGAGAGACTCTACTTACAGGTGGTTCGCTTAAAAAATACTTGGAACAACACAACTTAAAAACAAATATAAACGTAACGTTTATATCAAAGATTCACTTCCCAACTTAAAAACCAGATATAAACGTAACGTTTACAAATCACGACCATAATCGCAATTCCTCCTCTGTAGAAAGGGAGCTTAGAGTAAAGAGGAGATGAAAGAACAAAGCATACATTGAAATTTTTGTCTTCAGCTTCCCAGGCCAATCCTCCTCTGTAACTGATATTCAAAACCACGACCATAATCGCCGCGATAACCGCGAGAGCGTGCGCCACAAACGTTACGAGCATCGTGTTTATCCTGATAGCCATATCTTCCTCCTTCGAGTGTCCGATAGACATAGATCTCTATCGATTTTTATACTCAGACCAGTAATCTCGTGGTTAGTTATTGAAATAAATGATATTTTCCCAGGTGGGTGTTGTGGTAGCTGCAACCAGCGACAGTACGTAGCACACTGTTTTGTTTCAGGCCTAACTGTACTTGTTCCGAAAAGGGCGATAGTACGTAGCACACTGTCTTGTTTCAGGCCTAACTGTACTTGTTCCGAAAAGGGCGATAGTACGTAGCACACTGTCTTGTTTCAGGCCTAACTGTACTTGTTTCGAAAAGGGTTTAGGACGAACCATTATGTGGAACTAACTTCTTAAAAAAGTTCCACCAAACTTCTTAAACAAGTTACATCGACAATTCTTACTCGGATAATGATTACATATCCAAAAGAGCCACGTTCCACGGAGGAAGTGATGCAAAATCCGACAGGAGTCTGTGCAAGACACAAGTTCGAGTTGTGTACATTGTTTTGGTCGTCTATTGTTTGGTTAGACAGAGAGAAGATGTGCAGATTATATTAAATAAAACGTCGACAGCAGGGTTCGAACCTGCGCGGGCGAAGCCCAACAGATTTCAAGTCTGTCTCCTTAACCACTCGGGCATATCGACATCTTGTAAGCGTTAAAACAGAGCATATTTTACAATATATTTAAAATGTTACACAAACATGCTCAACATGGGTTCAACTTCTCCCAAACGGGAGTAATTACATTATTTACAAATACTAGTGAATTATGAATGAAAACAACGATGAACAATTCAGTTCTTAAACCAAGGAAATTACAGAACACTGAAAAAAATATTTCAAGTTTTTTTTTCTTTTTGGAATATCAGAAATACGAAAGATGATATATTAGATGCTTTGATGAAAAAAGAATGAAAAGAACTAGAGAGCTCGGCTTTTGACGATGTCAAAGCTCATCTCGCTAGGATCGGTGGCTTGTAACTCAACTTGAATGCCATCCAACGATCTCTTGAACCTATCCTTAGAGCTCGCGTACACCATCTTCATCCTCACTCTAGATGAATCCGGTGACCTACCATGCATCATTCAACAAAGCCAAAACACACATAAGCACACTTTCCTTGAAATTACTGAAACAAAATTAATGTCTGGTATGTCGGAAAACGTATTCATAGATCGTTCGTTTAGCCTTGATTAAATCTGGTTCAATGTATGTCTTTCTGCATGTATGATTAGTCTCAGTTTAGTGAGTTTGTATATAATAAGGCTACATAGTGTAACATGTTTTAACGTGTTAACACTTTACAAGGCTTATAGTTTATATTGTTTTTAAAAACAAATTATAGTTATAGTTATATTGAACTATATATTATTCAATTTTACTTCATGATGTATAGTAAAATTGAATGAAAACATCAGCTAAGATTAGAGAATATGTCGTACCAGGCGATGAAGAAGATTTTGCTCTTCTGGCAATTTTCATTAGTAGTAAAATCGAAATCGAAAACCGCATAGCGGCACTCGTCGGCAGGGAGGGAATTGGTGAAATCGTCGTAAGTCTCCTGAGGATTTCCTAACTTCTCAACGACCACCTGCTGCCCGTCTATCCTGAATATTATGAAACGATAGGTTCTTTTCTTCAGCTCCAAAAACTTCAGCTTGCAGTTGTCTTCCACTGCCATCCCTGACGCTGCGTTCGCCTTTTCATTCAATCATATCATAGAAATCCATCACCATCATTTCAAATACAAATGTATTTTTCATTTATTCTAAAGTTAGCTAAGCTTTTATTCCATTTTGATGTGGAAGCTTATGTAATATATGTGATTAACTTATGAATTAAAAAAACGAGATAGGTATTTATCTCATACAAAAGAATGAGAAACACGTCAATAACATGGAGATATCGACATCTAACATGATTAGACAATAATTGCATCCAAACTCCAGGTTTTAAATGTCTACTACATGTATAGGCATCCGTATTTTCAGAATCAGATGTTCCATCACATCGATTGCCTGCTACATGCCATTTTATAGTAACAAATAATCCTACAAAATTATTATAATAATAAGAGAAAAGAAATGAAGACAAACCATTGCTTTGTAATTTAGTTGCTATGGTAAAGCTTGAGGAAGAGGAACTTCTTGTTCTGTGTGAATATTGATTGTCCTCTGGAGAAGAGGAGATGGGATGGAATTTGAGAGGAGAATTAAGGAAGGGAATAATGCTTAATTGGTTTGTGAAGGGAGGGTCGAGACAAACTCGGACAACTTCTCTTATTTATTATCATTAATATTAGTCGCTAATCTGTTTTTGTGATAAGGGTGCACATTGTTTTCTTTTTTTTCAAACCTTAAAATTAGCTTAACCATCCCCTCTTTTAAGGCACTGCATACTCTATTATTAGCATTTATTTGTATACACCATGCATACGTTCATACGCATGCATGCATATGTGTATATACCATTATCTAATTCTAGCTTGCATCATTTTTGCTCATTTCTGTCTTTTGTATTCTTTTATCTAACTTTTTACAATGCATGTATAGCATCTAATGCCTATATGAATAGACCATTCATTTATGCTATGTTACTAGTACCACTGGAGAAATGGCTTCCCTTAGCCATATCGTTCTTATTCTGATGATCATTTTTTTTCTTTTTCTCCTTTCTGCTTCGGTGGAAGGTATATTTCGAAACCTCTCATTCAGCGATCGGTTTCTCTTTTTTGAGTTTTATCCTTGCATTTTCGATTTGCCTTTCACTCTAAGTACGTTTTAGATTTGCCGGTATGTTCTTAGTTTTCTTGAAGTTTACAGATACCTTGATGAGATATATTTTCTCATGTTCTTGAAACACTATGTGGTAAAGTTGCTATATACACTACAAAAAAAGAGATAGATTAGATCACTTAAATTGTATCAGAAAACTAAGTGATTCCATTTTAAATTACTTATTTGTAAATGATACCAATATAATTAATTTAGCATCGATTGTAAGAAGTGATATGTTTATTAATTTATTTGACATCATTTCCATAAAGCGATATATTTTTTTGTAATTGGTATCACCTTTAAACAAATGATGCTATTATTTATAATTAATATCAATTAAATAAATGATGTAGTTATTTTCTTTGTTGCCATCACTTACTAAGTAATACAAAATTTACATCAATAAAAACTGATGTTGTAAATAATACGTATATATACCATGAAAAAATATTGTATTAATAATACATATATATAACATATGTGATAAAAAGTTTGTTTATTTTATCTTAAAAGAAAATAAAGCAAATATTAACTTTTGTTAAAAAGGAAAAAAATAGGGTTAGCCGTCATTAACATCGTCATTCACAATCAAAACAAATTTGCAGCTTTTGATCATCACCTTCCTCTCAATTTTTAGCTTATGATAAAAGAGTTACAGCTTTAATAATAAGAGACAGCAGATTAAAAGGTAAGTTTCATTACAGATGGTAATCAAATTAAAATTTTCCTTTTCACACTTAAAGAGCTTCTATCTCTTTCTCAGAAAACCAACCGACTTTCAGAAATCATCCGTGAGCAATTTCAAAGAATCAAGACGGCATATGATATAAGGTAACTTGACTTTGTGTTTCAGTTGACATGTGTTCTTTTTGAATTTTTTCTGCGTTTGCAGTTTAATATGGTTACTGTGAATTTTTTCCTTATTTTCTACATTATAAAACTAAGAGTTATATACTTTTTCTTTTTTGTATTTTTCAGTTTTTGATGGATAAGTCATGGATAAACAAATCACGGTTATCTCAAGATTACAGAGTAGGAGTAAAAAATTTCTTGGAGTTTGCCTTTGGTAATTCTAATGCACGCATGGTGAAATGTCCGTGTAATCGTTGCACTCTAGCCAAATCTAAAACAAGAGAAGAAATCGAAGGTGATCTGATATGCTTTGGTTTCTTAAATTCTTACACGAGTTGGATATTACACTGAGAGGATACATGTGTCACAGAGAATACAAGAGCACCTTCCGATGTTGCTCAGGTTGAATTAGATCCAACTTTGAATCTTTTGAATGATATTTTTCCTGATATCAGTACCAATATGCATGCTGAACATGGTTTTGGACCGGCTGAGCTATCTATGGACACTGAAAGACCATCAACTTCAAGTGGAAATTATGGAAAAGGAGAAGGTTTTGATGAGTTGTTTGCTGACTATAACCAAGAGCTTTATCCAGGATGCAGTAAGTTCACAAAATTGTCTTTTATACTGAAGTTATACCATATCAAATGTATGTGTGGGATCAGTGACAAGGGCATATCCATGGTGCTTGATCTGATGAAAGAAGCTTTCACGCATGCCAAATTGCCAGATTCATTTAATGACATGAAAAAAGTTATTCGCAAATTAGGAATGACTTATGAATCGATTCATGCGTGTCCAAATGATTGCATGTTATATTGGGAGGCCGATGCAGAAAGGGAAAAATGCAAAGTTTGTGAAGCCTCTCGCTGGAAAAACAATAAGTCTACTGAGAGTACTATTTCCGGTTCAGAGCACCAAAAAAGTAAAGTTCCTGCCAAAGTTTTGCGTTATTTTCCTCTAAAGCCACGACTACAGCGTTTATTCATGTCATCAAAAACTGCTACTCACATGAAATGGCATGCATCTGCTAGTAATAATGATGGTAAGCTTCGCCATCCAAGAGACGGAAGAGCTTGGAAGGAATTTGATCAAAAATATCCTGAATTTGCATCTGATCCAAGAAATGTCAGACTAGGATTGGATTCTGATGGTTTTAACCCATTTGGTACAATGAGTAGTAGTTATAGCATATGGCCAGTGATGTTATTTCCTTATAACTTGCCACCGTGGATGTCAATGAAGCAAACATCTATGATCCTTTCTATGGTTATCCCTGGAAAACACATGCCTGGTAATGATATTGATGTCTACTTGCAGCCACTTATCAAAGAGTTGAAAGAGTTATGGTTTGATGGGATTGAAACACTGGATGCTTCTACAATAGAGCACATTTTGACGGAAAAATAGAAACCAGAGCTCCACCAGCCACATTGACAGGTTCTACAATTATTCATCAGTTAGAACAAGTTAATGTTATTCTGGGTAAGAAAAATGTTTCAGTGGAGAGACCGAGCCATTGGAACCAAAAAGACATTGGTTTACTATGGTTCTTCTTATCCACCGTTCTCTACTGCATATATGGTATAACAAATATCTCAAACTTTTATAAATCCATCAACATATATGCTAAACTCTGCAGTTCATGGTGCTGGCTTACAATTGGCTCAGAAAAAGAGAAACTTATTGCTATAACAAGTACAAATATGCATAGACGTACGAGTTTAACCCAATGATTGCATCCAAGTCTTCTAATATGCATATACGTACGAGTTTAAGTTTTTAAAAAGTATTCACGAAGTAACATTTGTGAGTGGAGTGAGTGCCCAGTTCATTGAATTTTAAATCATTTTAATAAATCTAAACAATCCAACTATGATATGAATAATGGGACATGGCCTTATTAATTAAAGAAAGTAACCAAAGTTCATGACAAAAGTAACCGATCCAAAATGATTCGCACGAATATTAATAAAGCTTTTGCAAATATATAGGATGCCTAATATAAGATTTCATGATCCTAACTACTTTATGTTTATACGTATATACATGACCAGCACAAAAATTAAAAACATCTAAAACTATGTGAAAGTTTCAGATCCCGCTTTATTTACCTTCCAAGCGGGAATCGATTTTGTAATTAGATATTTTTATTTTAATAAAAACTAACCACAACTAATTAAAATTGTTAGATTCAGGGTTTCACGTACTTCAGAAGAAACCGCTTGTGGCCAAGATCAGAAAGCTAAGGTTGCAAAAAATCGCAGGATCAAGGTAAATTAACTCTTGGATTCAATTATTTTGGTATTTAACTCTCTTCTACACTTTCGATAAATGAGAAAGGAATAAAGGATTCACATATTTATGGATTTTAATTTGTTTTAGGATCATGGATTTTATGGATTCAGAGACACAAGCACCAGATGATTCACCATTTTGGGAAACGGATCATGACATGCCTCCTCCACTTGCTGCTGAATGTAAAAGCTTTAAGTGGAAAGTAGAAGTCATAGGTAATATAAATTAAGACTGTCTCTTTANAGGAATAAAGGATTCACATATTTATGGATTTTAATTTGTTTTAGGATCATGGATTTTATGGATTCAGAGACACAAGCACCAGATGATTCACCATTTTGGGAAACGGATCATGACATGCCTCCTCCACTTGCTGCTGAATGTAAAAGCTTTAAGTGGAAAGTAGAAGTCATAGGTAATATAAATTAAGACTGTCTCTTTAATTTATTTACAGATTTATTTTCTAAGAACTGTTAAGTGATTGAACTCTTAAGCCTATTGTGTTTGACCTAGCCTATCGTGTTTTAGTCAAAACAGATTTATAATATTTGATTAAAGGAATATTCAGTCTTAGAAAAACCTATTTGTATGTGTTTAACGACTTTGATCAAACGGATCGAGTATATTTCTTACGAGTTATTAACATTGAAATTCACGAGAATCAATATTTAATCTGTTTATGTCTTGCCTACATAATCTGTTTTTTTTTTTTGAATGGTTCAACCTAAGAAATATATTATATGCTAATTGGTATATATTTTCTGATGAACAAGATAATGACGGAAATATCGAAGGCAAAATGGTAACTTCTAAAGATGTCTGGAAATTTCAAAACAGTAGAGTGATTGTACATTTTGACGAAGATAGCGCTCAACCAATTGGAGAGTCAGGAGGTCTACTAGGATCTTGGCTAGGTCAATTAAGCAATGATGTGAATTTGCTGCCCATCAACTACAGTGATTGGAGGATGGTTAATCCTCACATAAAAAAAAAGTGTGGGAAGTAATTCAGGTAACACATAACATCTCTATCAATTGTTATAATCTTGAGCTGTTTTTAAGATATTATTTTGATATCATAAATCATTTCTCTTTTATTTTAGTCCAAATTCAGGTTTGATGATCCAGAAATGAGAAAATCATTTGTGATGGGAGCATTAGGCAGCAGGTGCAAGGATGTCAAACTACGACTTTGGAAAGAGTATAAGCGAAATACTCTAAGTGAGACATTGCAGAATCGACCTGAGAAGGTTTCAGAAAATCAATGGGATCATTTCGTTCATATGAGATTCACTGAAAAGTGGAAGGTACAGTTGATTCATTATAATTATATTAGTTATATATAAAATATTAAGTAAGTATTTATGTATGTGAAATTTCAGAAAATGCAAGAGCGAAATACCAAAAACCAGAAAAAACATACCATGCCTCACGTCTGTGGAAGAAAAAGTTTTTCAAGAAGAAGAAATGAGATTGTAAGTAAATTTAATTTCAGTATAAATCTAGTTTAATTAATATACTGATTTTTTATATTTTTATGCATGTATTTTACAAGAAAATCAAGACCGGAAAAACACCACGTCGAGCAGAGTTTTTCATCGAGACTCGCACAAAACCTAATGGAAGCTTTGTATGTGAAGAAGCAAAAGAACGCGCGGTTAGTTTTATTTACAAAATTTGTTGATTAATGAGTTGATGATACTAGATATTTATTTGTTATTTGTTTATTAGGAAGCTCTTACTGTATTGTTGAGCCAAAA